CTATCCTGAGAAGGACTGTTCGCGAATCACTATTGTCTAAACAATACTAAAAAAGTGTTATTAAACAATTTAGTTGAAACTTTGTAGGCTTGTCTGGAATTACACCAGAAAAAAGAATGGAAATAACATGTTATCTCACAAAATGGAAATTGACACTTCTCATGAAGGCTTTGAATACATGAAGTGGACTTTGAAAATCAACCTAAAGTTTAAGCTGAAGGTCACTGTTGTTTGACCCTACAATTTTATTGGGATATTGAGGTTATTGAATTATTGGGGTTATCGGGTTATTGGATTATTGGGTTATTTGGGTTATCGAGTTATTGGGTTATTACAATTAACCTTACTCTTGCCCGATCATGCCTGTGCATAGATGAAGAAAATCATAAATTTGACCCCTACATGACCTTAGGCGGGGGGGGGTTAACCGCACCCCACACGTAATACGTTATCTGAACGTAGAATTTTCCGCTCTTTCCGAATCTGGGATCAAAAATATGGGTTCCTATTCATAAAATGACTTTAACCTTCAAATGACCTTGAAAATAAATCTCAAGGTCAAATCGGATTTCACAGAAAGGTTGCCCCCATTGTCCCAAACAACTGTTGTCTGAACAATTTTTTTGTACAACGCCAACCGTCGAAAATTTCGGGGTGGTTCCTTTAAAATGGGATACCCTGTATATAGAAATCTCAATTTAAACATTAATCAAAACCAGTATGCAGTGCTTTATAATATGTACACTAATTTTCAAAGCTCATATTATGGAAAAGAAAATGAACGATTGCTTAATAAAATAAATTTCATTGAAAAATTACCGTTAATCGTGATAGAGTGTTCTAAACAAAATGAATCTATCAAAAGTGTTGCTGTTGACGTCCGCCTCGAGTTTGACATGGAAGCAGATTTTCCTGATAACACTGCAGCCTATTGTTTAATTCTACACGATCGAATTATGCAGTATAATCCGATCAGCGATAATGTAAAAAAATTAGTTTAATATAGTTTACTCTCTAAATAAAATGTAATTAATATAGTTAAATATAAACTAAATAAATTAAATTTGTAACATAAATAACGTTAAATTTTATGAAGAAAAGCATTTAACTTAAAATATATGTCTTTACTTAATACTTAAACATAACAGCATGTGTATGTGCTCTGTGACTCACTCTCTCTCTCTATCTCTTTTTTCTCTACCGCTAGCGCTAGAAAACTACCTCCCTCTCTCCATCGCTAGGAGCTGATATTTCTCTCTCTCTCTCTCTCTCTCTCTCTCTCTCTCTCTCTCTCTCATTTAGAACTAGTGAAGCTGTGAAAAAGGCCAAACTCCCCTCTTCTCTCACTCTCTTACTTCTTTCTTTCTCTCTCTAATTAAAAAATGAAGCATTTTATTTATTTTCTTATTTATTTTAATTTAGTTTATTTTTAATATACATTAAATAATACAACTAATATAATTTTATATAATTTTATTTTTTCTTAAATAATCCTACAATCTTGAGGGGGCGAGTCGGCTTTCTCGTTGTTGGTTCGGCTGGGATTAAAATTATCTTACATGAACAGCCTCACTACTCTTGATCAGCGGTTTGTTCGGCACAGTTCTCTGTAAAATATTAAAAATATTAATTAATTTTAATTATAGGAAACACTTAAAATATATAAATTTTATAATAAATATAAGTGTTTGCCTACCATAGTAGCTAAATCAATTCTCTCATCTTCCTGCAAAATCTCCAACGAAGGCAATTGCGGCATCGATGATGACGAAGACGACGACGATGAAGATCAGGACGCAGACATCACAGATGAGAACGATGAGGATGTAGACGACGCAGACAACGACGATATCGTTACCGATCCTGACGCTGATGAGGATGGTGCTTTCATATTTGAAAACGTTAGATCCTTCGATGATTTTGCCAGTACTTTCTATTATTTTTTTACTTTATCTGCTCATACGTCTTGTTCCGTCTTGGCCAACTCAGCTTTCCTTTTCCGTTCCAATCGAGAGAAATCTTACTTTTTGCGCATTATCTCTGCGCCCTTCTGGCGAGAAAGCTGCACCTTCACTCGTTTTTCCACTGTCTTCTCTATTTGATATGCCACTTGTTGTGCGATCAACCTTTCTGCTAATAAGACTTTGATCCGCTGAAAAATAAAAAAATTAAAATCTATATAATCATGTAAAGAATTAAATAATAATAATAATAATAAAACTTACATGATGAACAACACATATCATCTGCGTTGATTGGGCAACGTGCTGTGTGTCGTTGCATGCGCACCTGAGCAACTGGAAATAAATAAATATATATTTAAATATTAAATATTAAATAATATAAAAATAACTTAAAATAACTGTGTTAAAAATAACAATGAGCAGCCGATACAGTAGCTCATGCGGGATAGTATTCGCAATCTCTAAATCATTGAATAAAAATTATTAAAATTATTTCTAATTTTTAAAAATGTTTGATTGTGGTTTCCAAAAACTGACAAGTTCTCACGATATTCTCAATTTTTCACTAATTTAAATAAGTTTAAACACTTACAGACAAAATTTTTTTACACAAGTAAAAATTAAAAAAAATTAATCCCCATCACTTTTTTATTTAAAAACTTTATATAAAAAAATTTTAAATATTAGGAAGAACGCTTCACTATTAACAGCTCGAAGTTTCCCTTGAAACTGACCATCGAAAATTCTACCGAACGCTCGTAATATTATCAGGTACGATTTTTTCTACAGTATGAGTAACGCTACAGACATACGTAGATATTCTTTGAGTGAGATAGGACATTTGCATTTCCACTAAAACTACATATATTACAGTAAAACAATAATGTACATCGTAATAGCAGTCTTGTCCATTGTAAATAAGATAAGCTATGTACGTTCCTAGGTTATAGCTGCTCCTGAAAGTAATGGAAAAGCTTGATCAATCTCAAACCGGCTGTAATCTGTATTTATGATAGACATCGTCAACTTAAGATAAGAGGGTAGGTAATAAGCATGGTTGCTCTCTCTTTCTCTTTCTCTCTCTTTAAATAGATTTAAGCAAAAATGACTAGGATAGCAGAGAAGGATTAGCGGGGATTCAAGCAAATATAGCTCTCCTCCATGGTTTATTGCACAGGAAATAGGAAGGTCAGTTTCCGGATTGCCCTCGTATTTACTGAGAGTCGAGATGATTATAAGTAGCCACAGGATTCGCTATCAGAAAACTTCTCGTTCTTACTCCAAGTAGCACTACCGAAGTGTATTGAAAAGAGATTTGATACACCTGTTTTGGATCGAAAAATAATAGACTCGAGCTTTTTTATTTCGACGAGGATTCATTGTTAAGCTTGGAAATGGCTATGTAATGTTCACAAATAATTCTTACTACTGTAACGGGGTTTACTTTTCATTGTGTCGAATTTAGCAAAGTATTCACCTATCGCTTTTATCGTTGGTCCTCACGCGTCAATTCACCTTGGTAACTCCAGGTTATGCATAGCTTGACAGTCTGACTCGGAATCCGTGCGTACATGTGTTCACTTATTTCTCTCGAATTTGTGTCTCTCTTGCAACACGCTAAGGGGCTATCTCTCTTTTGCACTTATTATGGCTTCTCGGTGGATAGTACAGGATACCTTGCAAAGCATGGGATAAAAAAGGCAACAATTATAAATTAAAGTAATTATAAATAATGGTTATTACTATATTTAATCATGAAGAGAGAGAGAGAGAGAGAGAGAGACATAATAAGTGTGGCTTGCAACAATATAAACTCATTTTCAGATAATAAATTTCATTTAATAAGTGCTGTAACTGAGGAACAATTTAATGACACATTCACATTTTTTGATGATATTCGTAAGGAGATCTAATGAGACATATAAGTTTGAAAGTAATATTTTATTATAGTAATAAACAATAGTAAGTTTGAAAATACAGAATATACATCTTCATAGACACAGACACCCACAAACACATACACACACGCATACACATACATAATGTAAAACTATATCTTGTACTTTTATTGAATACACTAACTAAACTTTTTTTATGTAAACGACTAATTTTACGATTTTCCGATCCCTGATATCTTGAAAACTATCGACAATGGAACTTTGCGGCTATTAGATTTTTGGTTCAAAAAGTGAAGAACTATAATATAAAATTTCCTAAAATTCATCGGAGTTTTACAATCTAATAATCTGATTTCCTTTCTGAATTCGGAGTTCACTCCGATAAACATGAAAACATCCACTTTTCAATTTCGAAATTAGAATATTTCTTTATCTCAGAATTTTTACTTTTCTTTATTTCAAAATTAGGATATATTATATTTAATATTTTTCGTTTCCATTTTTTTTTGTTTCGGCATTTTTACATTTTGACGGCATTGTAAATTTTTTTTTTTTTCTGAAATTTCCTATTTTATAATTTTAATTACGCTCACATCATTTTCTAAGGAGAAAAAATAATCAACGTTTCTTACTAGGAATTAAGAAAAATGATTCTTTTCTCCTTGGAAAAATGTTAAGATGCTTTCGATATAGAGGTTATGTAATTTAAATTCAAGGACCTTATTTATTTACATAGTTATCATAATAGTCACTTATTTTGCCACTTACTGACTATTTAGTGAACTTTTTCAATCATTGACATTATTATTATTCTCAGTTCTTCTAAGAATAGTGCAATGTGATGGTTCAATAGATACCATATCTTTTTATATTAGTTATAACACCTAAAAAGGCTTGTACGGGTTAGCATGGAAAAATATCAATACCGCTGTATAGTTCGTAAACATGTATGATTACTTATACCTTATTTTATCCTTAACAACGTGAGTTAGTGCTTAAACAAGAAAAAATTTTAAGTCGTTACGATTATATTAATTTTCGTTATTTAAAGTTTTTCATAAAAGAACCTTTAGTCTAATTTATATGTTTTTTACTGGTTCAAAACTAAAAATAATAGAAAATTCTTATATTTGATCAGTTGGAGCCCAGCAAGGTAATTACCAGAGTTCCGCTCCATTTCAAAGTTATGCTCAAGATCAATATATTCGTCAAGGTAGCACGGCTACACAGTCCAATGAATTTCCGTCATACAATAGTCGTGCTCATTATTCTTCATATACTAGTGATAACGATAGGTAAGTTTCTTCAGTAATAATACAAGAATGATACATGAAGCTTTATGTTAATAGTGCCAAAATTTCTTAGAAATTATCCAGGAAATAATTTAGCTTCTACAAATTCTGGTAACCAAGAACTATATAATAGATATAGCGGAAATCAACAGGGAAGTTCATATTCTAATGTAACATCACCTGGATCGCGAAATTATCCTGCTGTATCACAAGGACATTCAGTAAATATACAACAGTCGGTTACGACTCAGCAAACTTCTCAATCTCAGTCTAATTCTGTTCCGACTTACACTTGTACTCAGGATTTTTATAGACAAGACCAGGTACGTCAATAATGTATAATTAAGTGAATTTCTAAAATGATTAAAAATATAATTTCTTCGGATAAAAATAAAAAAATATTTAATAGAACCCAAATTTTTGAGGGAGAAAAGTTCGTGAAAAAATGAAAACTACTTGATTTTTTTAATAAATCTTTTTTATGTTCTAACATAGTTTCTTTTTAGACTTATACACTTTACCTAATGCTGCTGCAGTTTGTTGACCTCTTCCAAATAATAGGATTTGTCCAAGTCTGTAAAATAGGCATTCGTTTCTGCAATTACCTTCTCGTTTGAATAAAATCTTTTCTCCGTCAGCCGTGTTTTCATATTAGGGGACAAATAATAATCCGGTGGGGCCAAGTCTGGAGAATAAGGAAGGATGTAAATTTATTTGAAACTTATTTCCATCAAACCTTATTTGCGACCACAACTATTAACGTGTGAGCTGGCGCATTGTCGTGGTGGAAGAAGACTTTTTTGTGGGCCAATCGTGGACGTTTCTCTAGCAACTCGGTTTTCAAACGATCCAATAACGATGAATAATATTCGCCTGTAATAGTTTTACCCTTTTCCAGATAGTCGATGAAGATTATTCCTTGCGAATCCCAAAAGACAGTCGCCATAACCTTCCCAGTCGAAGAAATTGTCTTCGCCTTTTTCGGAGCAGATTCCCCTTGGTAACCCATTGTTTAGACTGTTCTTTGGTCTCAGGAGTGTAGTGATGTATCCATGTTTCATCTACAGTTATGAAGCGACGCTTAAAGTCTTGCGGATTTTGCTGGAACAGCTTCAAACCATTCTTGCAACACTTCACACGATCTCGTTTTTAGTCAATCGTGAGCAATCGCGGTACCCATCTAGCGGATAGCTTTTTCATGTCCAAATGTTGGTGCAAAATGTTATGTACCCATTTGCTCGAGATGCCTACAGTACTAGCAATCTCCCGCATTTTCACTTTTCCGTCAGCCATCACCATATCATGAATTTTTCAATAATTTCTGATGTGGTGACCTCAACAGGGCATTCAGAACGTTGAATATCTTTTGTGCTCATATGGCCACTCTAAAAATTGTGAAACTACTTATACATCATTTTAATCAAAAATGTGTAATCACCATAATATTTATCAAGCTTCTGTTTAGTCTTCTGAGGTGTTTTATCTCTAGTAAAATATTGTTTAATCAACATACGAAATTCTTTTTCGTCCATTTTTTTACAACCATTCGATTTTTTTTATTCAAACGAATGTTAAACACAAAGTAATAAATCAATTTGGCTCAAATTTGATGTGTGCTTTTCCGAAATATGCTACTAACTGAAAATAATCTCGATACGCACCAGTAGCGCCATTTTTCTGATTTTGTACGGAGTTTTTGAACGACCCTCGTAATATCTGAAATTTTTTAAATTTTGAAATAAAACCAATGCAATTAGAAATATACGAATACAAACTTTTAAGGTTAAACCAAGTATATAAATAATAAAGTATACAAACGCAAGTTATGTCAAATGCCAGTTATTTGACATGATAAATGTCAAATGATTACTAAAAAGCTGGGATGATTGCTTATACATTGCTTTGTCGTATTAGAATAGAGCACTTTTTTGGCACAAATTATTTACATGGAAAAATAGTTAGTTGCTTGCTTTTTAAGAAACTTTTAATGCACATAAATTTTCATTATAAATATTTTTTACTTTTAAAATCTTTACACTGCGTATGGAAGTTTAAATATACTGTACAAAGCCTACATTAACTTTTTACTAGATTCTTTAAAAATTGATTACAAGTGATGAAGAGCTAATGATAGTTTAGTGACGAATATGTTTTTAAGAAATTTCATTTTATCAATCATATATATTACGTCTTAGAATCAATGTTTATATAATTCCACATGCATACAAAAAAAATGGTCTGTATCAAAAGTGACATTCGTATATCCTCATGTATTTTGACACACTAAATTCAAATTTATAGTCAGTTTGACATGGCATTTACATCAAGTTCAAGGACATCTAAAGATTGAATTCTATAAAAAATATTTGAAAAAAATAAATTAGTAAACGTAACATACTGTCTTGATTCCCTTATAATTTGTTTAATTGATAAATTTTGTAATGATGGATCGAAGGGAAATAGTGATAGATGGAAAATCACTTATATAATTAAAATTAAGTGATTTTCCATCTATCACTATTTCCCTTCAAATCCATCATTACAAAATTTATCAATTAAAATAAATTATTATTTATATGATTTTGAGGATTGCTGAATCTAAAGTTTAAGTTTATTTCATCTCATCATATTCAAAACAAGATTATTTCAAAGTCAAATATTCATATTGTGCCAAAAAAAATTTTGACTGCATATTTTGGAAGTATGAAAAATATTACATTAAGATAAGATATTTTTCATTTTATTTTATCACAACTTCGAAAGCCATTTTAAGGTCAGTATAAGATGATATACAATGAGAGCCATATATAAAACTATACATGATAATATCTTGAAAGTTAGTATCACAACTGTAAAAATATATAAGTGCACTTTTATTGAATTAGACAACTATTTTCATTAGTATTGAGTGTGATTGAATTAAAATGAGCAGTCACTTCATGTCCAGTATATCAGGTTCAAGGACATTTAAAAGTTAAATTGAAAAAAAAGGTTTAAGAAGTAATAACTGGTATTCTTATAGTTTTTTTGTTTGCTGAATTCGGATTAAGAGTTCATTTAATGTCAATTGGATCTAAATCTAAGTCAATTTGAACTCAAAATCAATGAAAAAATATAACCTGATTCAGAAAATTACTCTCGTATATTTCAAAGATCGTTGAATCTAAATCTAGAATCATTTAAGAAATTATGGTATTTCATGCTTATGTTTGCTATTCTTATTCTATAATGGACTCGACTTTTTGATGCGTGTCTATGCTGCCCACACTGTAGGAATTAGATTTGTGATAAAGCCTTGATCTTCAAATAAATTGCGGATTTGAGGACTATCGAAAACACTTTCTTTTAATTTGGTATTACTTATGTCCAGAACCTTTTTTTTTTATGTGTTCAAAACATTCTTCATCCTTATGCACAGCATTGACGAATTGCTTCATAAGACCAAGTTTGATATGACAGTGAAAACAAAATTTTCAAAGGATCTATTAAAGATTCACGGACAATGTTTTTTAGCCCTGAATTTAAATCTATTTCCTTGACAACTATTTATATCCATAATGATTTTTTCTATTTCTAGTATCTCATAAACATAAGAAAAAGGAACTTTTTGTAAAATCTGACTGCAGTCCCAGACTTATAATTAAAATGTTTCCATTGTGCAAAAGCACAGCTTTCAGGTTCTGATTAAAAGGGTGGTTTCACTAAATTTCATTTCCTCTCCACGCGCGAATTTTTTATTTATTTCTATTTATGAAATAGTTAGTTCTGTACTAAAGTATGTGAACAGTCATGAAGGTTGTATTATTCTTTTTCTGCGTATTTAGAAATTCAGATCTATTAAAGTTTAATTAGCTTATTATTTTTAATTAATAAGATCGAGCAAAGAACATGCTATTATCACCTTAATTTTAATTTAATTTAAGCTATCAATTTTAATGTAAATAACATTTGTAACCTAGTTTGAAGTTTATTTTATATAGTCTCTATAGAGAGATATAGAAAGATATTCTCTATAGCGAATTTATATTCACTATCGTTATGTACTTTTATGGTTAATTGTTCGATTAATTATTGTTTCTGTTTCATTATTATCAAATAATTTAACTGCAAGTTGTAATTTAGTATTCATTCTTTCCCTTTACAAAAAGTTATAATCTAAAGAGGTAATAAAGTTATCTATCTATCTGTCTTACACTTTCCCTCTTTATCTTTCTCTCTGTCTCTCTTTATTGACTAGCGAAATCCCCCCCCCCCCCCTGATACAACAAGTAACACTATCCAAGTGTTAATCACCGATTATCCTGTAACTTTCAGATTATTTTTATCACATGTATACAAGATACTTTAAACCATTTTTAGCGGCCCGTTTCACCTTGGATTTATAAAATAGTGATTTATTGTCTTAACCCATTAACGCTCAAAACCATCGATCTTACGCCATGCTATCGACCACGAAATTCATGCACAGATCGAAGATACCGTATCTTATGTTTTTGGGCGTTCTAAATATGAATCCGGGCTCAAAATTCACAACTGTTGAATGGAAAATTAAAAATGTAGGTTTGTTTATAAAAAAATCTCCCAAAAACCTGTTTTTTTCATTATTGTTCCAAAGGCACAGAGGTCTTATAATTCGTCAAGGAACTCTCTTGAAATTTTTTATATTTAAAGAAAGTCTTTCATCGCAGCTGTGCTGGAAAAGCGGTTAAGCTGTCAAACGGCGCATTCAAGAAATGTTGCGGAAGGAAAGACATCGCGCGACCCGGGACGGGGTCTCTGCTTGGGACGGAGTTGGAGATTTCCATGGATGGCGAAGATGTGGTGCCTAATCCCTCCAAGTCCCCTAATCCGCCTAACATTATTGGTGGTGAAGGGCGATTATCACATATCGGATTAGCAAACTGTTCCCTTAGCCAATCGAAGGATAATATGCCGGTATGCCAGTCCATGCAGGCTCTTGCTTCTCCACAGCGGGCACCAATATCGTCTTGGGATGAGATGAAGGGCTTTATATTAGATATAAAGTCCCAGATTGTTGAGCAAATAACAAGCTCCCTCAACGAAAAGTTCTCGTCTATAAATGAACAGATAACGGGGTTGCAGGAAGAAATAAACAACACTTGTGGAGCGCTGACGAAGCAGATTGATGATTTGCATTCCGCGATTCAGGACAATACTGGATTGATTGACCAGCATGAGCAGAGAATATCACAGCTAGAGTCAAATGCCTCGAGCGTGCCAAGTGATATGGAGGATGCCATAATTGCTGAATGCACGGAAATTAGAAGGCGGGAAAGAAACTGTATAATATATGGCTTTGCCG